GTGTGAGGCACTGGGTTCCGTCGTCAGCACTGCATATAAATAAATAAAATAAAAGCATTCTGTCCATCTACAACTATAAAAAATTTTTTAAAAATGAGTATTCCATATTGTTTGGTTGTAGGTGTCTATATATTCAAAGTATATGATTATGTTAATATTATTCAAATATTCTATACCCTTATTTTTTCTTATTGTGGTAAAAATGTCCATAATATAAAATTTGTCACTAACAAAATTTGGTATATTCATGACATTATGCCACCATTGTCACTATGAATTTCAGAATATTTTCATCACTCCAAAGGAAGCCTTGTACCCATGAGGAGTCACTCAAGCTTAATTACTTTGTAGTCAGACAACACACTGAGTATACTATGACTTTGAATTTTGTGGAGACTTGCTTCAAGTCTCAGTATCTGGTTCATTTTTCTTCTTTCTAAATTATAATTATGAACTCAAATTAATCGTACAGATTTGTGGGTTTCTCTGTGACCTTTCCATACATGCATGTGTCACCCCACCTAACGCCCACCACCCTACCTAACGCCCCTCTTGCCCTCTCCTCTCTTCCCTCCACCCACTTCCCTTCCCTGATTAGTTTTTCTTCTACTTTCGGGTCATGTTCTCTTGTTGGTGCCCACAGGTGAGAAGAAACGTGATGCTCGTCTTTCTGTGTCTGGCTTATTTCATTGTTAACACGACGATCTCCAGTTCCATCCATCTTCTTGCAAACAACATGATTTCATTCTCCTCTGTGGCTGAGTAATACTGTACCGTGTGTCTTTCCTTCATCCATCCATCTGCTGCAGGGGCACCTAGACTGAGTCCACATCTTGGCGACTTTGGAGAGTGCAGCAATAAACAAGGGGATGTGGGCCCCTCGTGTCTGCTGGCTTCACTTCCTCTGGTATATACACAGGACTTACAGGGCTGCATGACGTGGGAGTTCTATTTTTTTTTTTTTTTGGTGGGGGGAGCCTTCACTCTGATTTCCCCATCTTTGCTGTACTAATTTACATCCCCACCAACCGTGGGTAAGTGTTCTTTTTTCTCCAGTTCTCACCAGCATCTGTTATGTTTGGTTCTTCTTCTTTTTTTTTTTTAATATTTATTTATTTTTTTTAGTTGTAGTCGGACAGAATACCTTTATTCCATTCATTTATTTTTATGTGGTGCTGAGGATTGAACCCAGGTCCTCGCGCATGCTAGGCGAGTGCTCTGCCCCTGAGCCACAATCCCAGCCCCTGGTTCTTCTGATAAGAGCTGCTCTGACTGGGGTTTAGAATCTCAGTGTCGTTTTGATTTGCATTTCCCTGATGGCTAAAGATGTCGAACCTTTTTTTCATATATCTGTTGGCCATTTGTACTTCTTTTGAGAAGTACCTGTTCAGATTTTTAGCCCTTTTATGATTAGACTACTTGTACTTCTCTTGTTGACAGTTTTGAGTTCCTTATGTATTGGGGATATTAATCCTCTGTCAGATGTATGGCTTGCAAATATTTTCTCCCATTCTCTTCACTCGGTGAATTGCCTCTTTTGTTGTATAGAAGCTTTTTAATTTGATATAATCCCACTTATCAATACTTCATTTTATTTCCTGAGCTACTAGAGTCCTTCCTATTCAGGAAATCTTTACGTGTCCCTCTACCTGTTACTGTGACTCTAATATGTCTTGAAATCTGGTTAAGTGATGGCTCTAGCATTGTTCTTTTTGCTCAGGATTGCTTTGACTATTCTAGGACTTCTGTGCATCCATATGAATTTTTTTATATACCAGAGATTGAACCTGGGGCACTTTACCATTGAGTCACATCTCAGGTCTTTTTAGAATTTTATTTTGTTTTGAGACAGAGTTTCACTAAGCTGCCGAGCATCTTGCTGTGTCCCTGAGGCCTTGTGCTGTGTCTGACCTGAGTGGCTCACTTTCTCTGTAGATCTTGCAGGTGTGGGGACCCTCTGCAAGCCCAGGCAGGTGTGTTGTGGACAGCAGGAGGTGTGTTGTGGACAGCAGGGGGTGTGAGGTGCCCGCTGTGGTTTCTCTTCCACACTCGTCAGCGATGTGCTGTCTGCAAGAGAACCCGAGCAGCCTGTGCTGGGCTGGCTTGGGGGTGTGGTGTCCCACAGCTGTCATTTCTCTCTGTTGTTGCTATTGGGTGAGTGACCAGGTGTGGGAGTTCAGCCTCCCCGCCCCCCCCCCCCAGCTGTACCTGTGTGGGGCTAGGTGATCAGCTGGGGGGCTTTGATCTCCCCAGTTTTTTAAGTTGAAAGTTCTGCCAAGGTTTGAGTGGGAAAGACTGTCACTGAATTAGGTGTCATTTCTCTCAGCTGGGCTGGGGGTGCACCTCAGTGGCAAAACACAGATCCCACCCTCCCATGCCCTGACCTCTCCCAGCTGCCTTCCCAATTTGGTCCTAAATGGAAAGTGACCTTTGTTCCTGTCACAGACCAGCTGCCCACTGCGTGGTGTTCTATGGTTTTGGCTTACATGCTCCATCTTTTAACCACACGGCTCTCAAGCCAGGCACCCACCAGCCTGGTATACTGGTATTTGCTGTGGTGTTCCAGAAAAACTTCAGGGACCTTTGACTCTCAGTGCAGCAGCTCAGAGGAGACCTTCTCAAGACAGCCCCCCCATGGCAGCACCACCAGTGCATGCTGGGAAGTGGGTGGGACTTCCCTAGTGCCTGTGTGCTGTGCAGATTCCAGATCCACTGTTCAGGGGTGTGTGTGTGTGTGTGTGTGTGTGTAATTTCCAGTGTACAAATGCACGCCTCCATGTAACCTTCACTCCTGTAAAGTTATAGAAAATGTCAGTCAACCCAGAAGGTTCCTCATGCTTCTTCCAGATCTGTTTGGAGGCATACTGCCCTCCCATCCCAGCAACCAGGCAACACTGATTAGCTTTGTTTGCTCCAGACTTTCCTGCAGTTGGAGTTGTAGGGTGTGTGATAGTTTGCATCTGACTTCTTTCACTGAAGGTGGTGATTTTGGGGTGCATCTGCATTGTTGCATACATCAACAGCCCATTTCCTTTTATTGCCAAGTGGTATTCTATTGTTCAGACACGTCACCCTGGGCTCACCTACTCGCCTTTTGATGGACACTTGCTCTGTTTCGAATTTGACTACTATAGACCAAACTACTATGAACATTCTTAGACAAGCGTACATTTTTTTCATGTCTCTTCCATAAAAACTAGAAATAAAGTTGCTGCTCATGGAACAGATGCAAGTTCATCTTTCTAAGAATTTGCCAAACTACTTTCCAAAGTGGTGGTACCATCTTACACTGCCCCCAGCAAGGAAAGGAAGTACCAGCTGCCCTGCACTGACGGAGACCCGCTGCTGTTGTTCCTTTTAGTTTCAGCCATCCCTAAAGTAGTGTTTTGAAAAGAGTCTGTGTCCTCCAGACCCCGGGAACAACGTTCTGCAGATGTCCACTGGGTAAAGGGTTTAGTCACATTGTTCAAATAATATTTATCCTTATTCATTTTTATCTCGTTTGTTCTATCATTTTCTTTGGGTCACTTTAACAATCCCCTTTGATGAGTTGGAATTTGTTGATTTAATTTTAGTGATCTCCCTCTTTTCTATATTTGAGGATCTTTTAAAAGATCCATAAAAGGGGCTGGGGATGTGGCTCAAGTGGTAGCGCGCTCGCCTGGCATGCGTGCGGCCCGGGTTCGATCCTCAGCACCACATACAAACAAAGATGTTGTGTCCGCCGAAAACTAGAAAATAAATATTGAAAAATTCTCTCCCTCTCTTAAAAAAAAAAAAATAAATCTCTTTAAAAAAATAAATAAAAATAAAATAAAAGATCCATAAAAATTTGGATATCTCCTTATGGAGATAGATGCACAATGATTTATAAATACATCTTGAATATAAATTTTTATAGGCACACTCTTCCTGGTGTAATTTACCAATGAAGAGTCTAATAGCAGTTCCTCATATTCTAGGGGCCTGGGCTCACCCTCTCTGTCCCTCAGTCTTCCCCTCTCTCTGTTCCTAGGTCACCTCCGCTCTGTCCTTGGGTTCCCCTGCCTCTGTCCCTGAGTTTCCCCTTCTCTGTGTCTGGGTCCCCCTCTCTGTCCCCAGGTCTCTGCCTCTGTCCCTGGGTCCCCCCTCTGTCCCCAGGTCCCCCTCTCTGTCCCTAGGTATCCTTCCTCTCATGCCTTCCCACCAGCCTCCAGCAAGGGTCCTGAGGTAGATAGAAATAATGCATCCTTTTTTTTTTTTTTTTGTACTGGGGATTGAACTCAGGGGCACTCGACCACTGACCCACATCCCCAGCTCTATTTTGTATTTTATTCAGAGATAGGTTCTCACTGAGTTGCTTAGCACCTCGCTGTTGCTGAGGCTGGCTTTGAACTCATGATCCTCCTGCCTCAATCTCCCTAGCTGATGGGATTACAGGTGTGTGCCACCACACCCAGCAAACTTAACATGCAGCTAAGAAGACAAAATTGGAAAAAGGTAATCAAAACCAAATAGTTAAATGAAGCGAGAAATCACTTAAATCCACTGTTTGCTGACTTGGATTTTCAGGCACTGACAACATTCACAGGATAAGTTTCTCTTAACCTCTCATGTGCAGCTGCTCCCCCTGGAACCCTGTGGCCTCCTGTTCAAAGCTCCTGCTTGCCAGCCGGGGAAACAAGACTAAGGGTGGAAAAGCTATTTGCTGGAATCCTTCAATGGGAAGAGAAGCAAGGAGGACACTTCAAACAGAACCCGGCTGCTCTCACACTTTACTCCAGGGGAGGACGGGGGGGGGGGGCAGGGAAGGGGATCAAAGGGTGGAAACCAGCCTAATACCCGTGAGGCTAGGAAACACTGGGCTGATAAGGACATTGCAGACAGGAAAAGATTCTGAATGGACTCCTGAGCTGAGGGAGGAGGGCTGGGTTCTGGACCTCTGGGCCACAGGGAGATGGTAACTAAGGTCCTGGCCTCCTGGGTGAGGGAGGCCAGTTCCGTGGGTCCAATCCCCAAGGCTAAATAGCCTGGATGGTTTTCTGTATCCAGTCAGTGAACTTGCAGAGGTTGGTGTAGACACTTGGCATGCCAGGCTGGCCACACTTGGCTTGTCCCAAAGACACGAGGCCCTGCAGAGACCTGTTGCAGACCAGGGGGCCCCCAGAGTCACCCTGTTGTGGAGAGAAGGAGAGAGTCAGAATCCCAAACACTGAAGGTGGGGCTAGATGTGGGATCAGAGAGGAGCCACATGAGACTGAGAGACAAAGACAGAAAACAACCAGCAACCCACCCTGGAAGTCCCTTGCAGGTCCCTGACCCCCTGCCTGCTCCCTGTGCCCAGAGTGGCCCCCGTGGCTTCCCTCGGGCTTGTGGTTGATCTGTCTCTCCTGTGTCTTCCCTGTGGGTTATTCCCCGTCTCTGAGCCTCTGCATCTCTCTGGTTCTTGGGATTTCTCCTGTTTCTCACGGGCCTCCCTCCTGGAGTCTGTCTGGTTCTCACTGGGCTCTTCTGTGTGTGCCTCCGCCTCCAGCTCTGTTTCTTTCTCTCCTCCTTTGCCTTTGTATTCTCCTTTGTACTTATTCCTGTTTCTTCCAGTCTCTTTCCCTTTGTTCCCATCCCCCTGTCTCTACTCCTCACCGTACCTCCTGTCACCACTTCTCTGTCCCCCCCTGCGACATCCGCCTCCCATCTCTCACGTTGCAGGAGTCCCTCCGGTCCTGTCCTCCGCCTGCGCAGAACATGCTGTGGTGGTACAGGGAGGTGTAGATCTCACTGCAGACCTTCTCGGACACCACCGAGACGTTCGTGCACTGGAGCAGCGTGGGCAGCCTGCCTGGGACACAGAGCTCTGGGTCAGCCCCTCTGGTGGGGAGAGGGACCCCTCCCAGAGGGCAGAGGTGGCACAGGCTCACCATTCTCCAGCAGACCCCAGCCAGAGACAAGGCAGGAATCCCCAGGTGTTGGGCATTGGGAAGTGATGCTGATCTTCCGAATGGTGTCCGACTCAGACACGGACTCCTTCAACTTTATGAGCATGAGGTCGTTGGCGAAGAAGGGATTGTTGTACTGGGGGTGCTGGATGGAGAGGAGGACCTCCATCATTCGGCTGCCTGGTTCTTGGTTGGCCTCAAGACTGTGCAGACCCAGACCCACGGTGTAGGAGCTGAGGACCACGGGAGCAGGTTGAGTTCTGTGACGACTACCCTCCCACCCAGGCCGTCCCCACTCTCGGACCCACCCCATCTCCCTGCCAAGCACCGTGCTAGGAGTCACCTAACCGTGACCTCAAATCCTCATCCGCAACAACCAGGGATCAGAACCTGCCCCAAGCCTCGGGTGACCCAGTCCCAGGGCTCTCTGAATCTTCCCAAAGCAACATTGTGCGCGCCTGCCTTGCCCTCCCCCTGGACTCCCCGGTTCCAGGCTTGGGTCCACAAGCCAGCACAGCTGTCGCCACAGATGCTGGGTCTGTTTGAGCCCCCTCCCCTGAGATAGCGACACACCTACCCCATCCTGCACTCACTTCTGTAAACAGTGCGCGGCTGACAGCACCCACTGGGGATGCACGAGGACTCCCGAGCAGAAAAACTCATCTTCCTTGAACAGTGCCGCCTGCCAGGGCTGCGAGTGAGGGATGCAGTCCTCGCCGTTTATGATGTGGCTGCCGCCACTCCAGGCGAGGGACCCTGGAGGCGGAGTCAGGGCTGGGGGCCGGCCCAGGAGGAAAGCCCAAGGCTCCAGGGGTAGAGGAGTCCCAGTGAAGGGGCGTGGCCAGGGCCTCGGGGTGGGGCCAGGGGTTCAGGGGCGGGGCTGTGGCTGTGGGGCGGGTTTAGAAGGCAGGATCAGGGCTCCCGGGGTAGGGTCTGAGTGCAGGGGTGTGGTCAGAGTTTGGGGGCAGTGTCAGAGGTCTTGGGGGAGGAGTCAGCGGCAGAAGGAGGGATCACTCTTTGGGGTGTGGCCTGCGCGCAGTCTATGCTGGAGGAAGGCTCCGGAGACTGGACCCTTGCAGTCATGATTAGGGAGGGGAGCCATGGACAAGCTTCAGGGGTGGGGTCAGGGCTCACAGGGTGGGGTCAGGTCCCTTGGGAGGAGGTCTGGGAGATGAGATCAGCTCATAAGGACAACCCATTTTTCAGAAGGGTTCCAGATTTGAGTCACTGACCCATCTCCAGGACCCACATAACATTCCTCTTCTGCAAACCAAGCCCTGTAACAGGAGTCTCCCAGCACAGCGGACCCTCACCCAGGCTGGGCACACACAGCCAGCTACTCAGGGAGTTGGTCACATTTTGTAATGCCCTGGCCATGCCTTCCGCTAGCCTTGCCTGGTCACACCCAGCCACAGTCACTTCACACAGAAACACCATCATAGTCTCTGCCGTGGGTGCCAGTGAATCTGAGGATTGGAGACTCAGGAAGCAGGCCCAGATCCTCAGCAATGGGTGACTCCTCTGGAGGATGCGCCATCTCCCATGTAATGGCACCCTCCGCCTCCCCTGTGCCCACGACATCCATACAACGTTGTCACTCTGCAGGCTATTCAGAGGCACAAGCTACCAAAGCCATTTACCCAATAACACACCACACACCCAATCACACTGTTACATGCACAGTCACCATGATGTGAGGAATTACCTATGTGTCCCACCACAGGGGCACACGGCCACATGGTCCTTTCACACAGCAGAGGAACACTAAATCACACCTGTACTGTAGCCCACACTGTGCCCTCAGGCAGTCACACACACTCAGATACCTGTGACCCCAAGGAGGAGGTACCCCAGGAACCAGCCCCAAGGACTTCCTGCTGTGACCATCATGTCAGCACCTGGGAATGAGGAGGGGAATCTGGGGACCTTCAGAACAGAGCTTCTCATCTCTCTCTCTTCCCTTCTGGGCCCCCTGGGATGTTACTGAACATCTACAGCCCCCTGCCCTGTTTGGGACTCAGAATGCAGAGAGAGATATTCAGAAACAGAGGGAGAAAGAGACAGAAAGTGGAGAGGAACGTACAGAGAAGGTGTCCACCATCTATGAATAGGGAGAGGAGTGGGGAGAACCCTCAGGGACAGAGGCAAGATGCAGAGAGAGAGCCACAGAGACAGGGAAGTTAAGAATTTGATCTGAGAATCAGAGAAGCAATTCTAACTAGAGAGAGCTAGTGAGAGACCTCTTTGGACAGGAGATGTAGAGACGGCATCCTGAGGCCGAAAACAGCGGATGAAGGTGGATGAAGGCCACTAGGCTTGTAGGTGGGGACCAGGGGCTGCTTACCTGGCCACCTCTGGACTCCTGGATTCTGTGGCTGGCCTGCCTCCTGCCTGCTTCCTCCCACAACATCCCCCATGGGGCTTATAAGCTTCCTCAGCCTCTCCCCCAGGGGACACATTCCAGGGGTCAGGTGCTGCGTGCTTCCTGCTCAAATCTCTCTGGCAGCCTTAGACCCCGAGGCAGGGGGTGGGGCAGCAGGGACCCAGATCTTGCCCAGACTCCCCTCATCCCTTCTTTCTTTCTTAGTTATCCCTCTCCTTTCTCCTCCTCCTCCTCCTCCTCCTCCTCCTCCTCCTCCTCCTCCTTCTTCTTCTTCTTCTTCTCCTCTCTCTCTCTCTCTCTCTCTCTCTCTCTCTCTCTCTCTCTCTCTCTCTCTCTCCTTCCCTTTTCCCACCCCAAAGCCAGCCTGCATCAATACTCCTTTTGGAACCTGCCAGGGGACCCCACCTCTCTGAGCCTCAGTCTTCCCATCCCACCCCTCCCAGCCTGGATTCCAACAAATACTGCAGGGAATACCAAGTGCCCTGGGAGGCTGCAGGGGACAGGCTCCTGGTGAGCCCAGCTGTATGAAGCCTCGAATCCTTCCAGCAGAAAAGAGCAATCGCACCTGTCTTGCCCGGAGCTGCCAGGCTTGGGTCACAGCCAAAAAGAGCTTGGCGCGATGGAGCGGAGAAGAGGCTCCCGAGGGAGAGTCCGGGCGCGGCAGGAGGAGGGCGACAGACCAGCGGGCAGATCGAGATCGTGCGGGGCTTTAAATGCTAGGGTTACGAACTTTGGGTTTTATTTAAAGTGTGATGGATTTTAAGCACGAGGATAGAGGAAATGACATGCTCTTATTTACTTTAAACACACACCCTGCGTGGGGAATGAGTAAGGGGCGCGTGGGGGTGGGAGGAGGCAGCAGCCGGGCGGGGGCGGGGGGGGGGGTGCTGCGGTCCAGGGCTCGCCTTCATTTTGCAGAGGGGCCAGCGTGCTGAGGGATGGGGGAAAGCGGGAGCAGGGAAGGAGCGCAGGGGACATCGAGGCTCTGTCCGGTGTTGCGCTGTGGGCGCTCAGTGCTTGGGGACCCGGGCCAGAGGCGCGGGGCGGGGCCGGGCCCGGCACCCCTGGGGGGAGCTGCCCGTACCAGCGAGGGGGTAGGCGGAGGTCAGGGCGGCGAGGACCGCGGGAGTCATCCGGGGAGAGAGCGGTGTTTACAGCTGTGGAGTGGCATGAGCTCACCCCGCAGTGGGGAGACCTCAGAGGCGGCGGGCGTGCCCGCAGGCATGAGTGTCCAAGCGTCTGTCTCCCTGTCTGCCCCCATCTCTTGTCTCTCTCTCCCTTGTCGCTGTCTCTCTGGATCTTTCCCCGACCCTGTCTTTCTCTGGCCCTGCCAATCTTTCTTTCTTTTGACAGGGAGACAGAGACACAGAAATTGAGAAGTAAGGAAAGGAGGGCCCAGGGGCAAAGAGGTTATGTAGCACCTCAGAAGTCGGTTTAAAAAGACAGACTGAAAGACAGAGTTTGGATTTTCCCCCAGCTTGAGTCAACTCCACTCCCAGCCTCCCTCTCTGAAGGGGCAGCACCCCATTCCCTCCTGAGCGCCACCAAACCCCAGGGGTCCCCTGGATTCTTCTTGCAGTGGCTGCAGTCTATCAGTAAGCCCTTTAGGGGTATGCCCCCAATAAACTCCAGCCAGCCAGACCTGCCCAGCGGGACCAGCCCCATTCGCTGGGCTCCTCATTCTGACCTTGTCCCTCTCAAGTCTGTTTCCTGGGTGGATGAGGCTCCTGAGTGAACTCCAGGTCCCCTGCGGTGGCCCTGCTTCCTTCCTCTGGGCTGCCCTGTGGTCTGTTCCACAGTCTTCTACACTCTGCCCTCACTCTCTCCCTAGAGGACCCCCATCCCTCAGGTTGTGTCCAGTGTCGCCTCCTCAGAGAGGCTTTCCCTGGTCCCTCCCAAACTAATACAGGTCCTCACTCCTCTATTTATCCTCCCTCCCTCCTCCCTCCCTCCCTCCCTCCCTTCCTTCCTTCCTTCCTTCCTCTGTCCCTCCCTCCCTCCCTCCCTCCCTCCCTCTCCCACTTCTTCTCTTTCTCTATTTTCCCTTCTCATCGAGTCCTGCACACCTCCTCCGAGCCCTTGGCACAGTCGATGCACATGTTATTTCTTGTATATTTATTCTTCTAACACCTGCTTCCCTCTCTAAGCTGGGAGCCCTTGGAGAGACAGAGCCCCTCCCGCTCAAAACCATTCATTGCACATGTGTTGCACGGGTGGCTAAAGAGAGATGCAGAATCACTGAGACACACAGAGGCAGAGACGGATGGAGAGAGAATGGTGATAACCAACAATAATGATAGCTCACACTATCTAATTAACATTTTAAATATGATAAATTAATTATAGTCAAGCTGAGAGCTCGCTGTGTCAGGCTCTATTTTAAGTGCCTCGTAATACAGGTGGAGTAACCCCTATCCCAAGGCTCAGGACAAGAAGTTTTATATTTCATTTTTAAAGATTTTTGGAATAATTGCACAATGAGATGAGTCAGGGATGGGGCCCAAGTCTCAACATGAAATTCATTTAATTTCGTATGCATCTTATATAAGTAACGTGAAGGTAATTTTACACAATTATTTTAAATAATTTCATATACAAAACTAAATTTCATGGTGTGGACTTTTCCATGTATGGTATCATGTCAGTGCTTGAAAGGTTATGGATTTGGGGGCATTTTGGGCTTCGGATTTTTTTCCTCCTCTTTCAGTTTTTTTCCCCTTGCAGTGCTGACATGGGACCCAGGGCTTCTCCCACGCCAGGCGAGCTCTCCCACGGAGCCTCATCCCCAGGCCAGATTTCTAATTAGATGCTCAACCTGTAACTCATTTCTTCCTGCTGTGACACTGTGAGATAGATGATCATAGGAACTCTGACAGATGAGGAAGCTGAGGCAAGGAGAAATAATTTACCCAACGTCACAACAAGACTGAGGCTGGAAGCCAGAAACATGAAAGAACAGAAATGGACAAACAGCACGAGGGTCAGAGCCTATTTCTGGGCTCTCTGATATTCTGTCCTCCTTATATATCAGGAAACAGCAGCTGTAGTGTTAGACAGGTGTCCAAAGGGACACAGGTCTGGGGGCCCAGGAAGTTCCCAGCCCACTGCCCCTTACCTGAGCTATCTGCTCTCACCTTCATTTACAGGTGAGAGGCAGCTCTTGCTCAGAAGACAGGGAGCATGACCTGGAAGAGGGCAGGCCACAGACCTGGCCTCCAGAGCCACCTCATCTGGAAGTCCACTGTCATTGCAGAACTAGAGGAATAAGCCCCTTCTCCCTCCTGTGCCCTTGGGCAACTGAACCAGAATGTCATGAATCTGGACTCAGTGGGCATGGCCACCTGTCTAGGATTGTCATCTGCCCCAGGACCTGGCCGTTTCTTCTGGGTGCCCAGTGCAGCCCTTAGGGAACCAGCCACCTGGTTTTCCCTGGTAAACTTGGGGATGCACCTGTGGCTCTGGTTGAATGTTCTCCTGGGGGTAGAAGGCAGGTGCCGCCCTCTCTTGTTCAGTGCTGTGAAGCCATCCTGGGGCACATTATCCCCTGTGAGGAGAAATGTCTTCCATTCTGAGCCCTCATAGGCTCTGGACGTCAGAAGTTCAAGGTCTCACTGACCTCTGCCTCCCTTTATCAGAACCTTTGTGGTCAGCTGCCCCACCCCCCACCCCACATGGTCAAGGTTCCTTTTGCCTCAAGAAGTCACATCCTCACAGGTTCTGTGGATCAGGATGAGCACATCTTTGGGGAAGGGACCTCATTCTGTGTCCTGAGAAATCTCAAGGCACGTGCAGCAATTCACAATCTCCTGGTTTCTGCCTCCTCTACCGAAACACAACTCTGCTCCGACAAAGCAGCCCTGTCAAGTCCCCCATCAAGTTTGCACCAAGAACAATATCTGGCATGTAGTAGATGACAAGTAAATATTTGCAGAATGAACAAGTATCCCCGAGGGAAAAAAATAGTGTCCTTAGGAACTACTCACAGTCACAGAAACATCTTTATAACTGTTGGTGCCTTTGACAAGGATTAAGAGACAAACTCTGGGACTCAGGCTCTCATGATTCAGGACTCTGCTCTGCCCCTCACTAGCTGGGTGGCTTTGGGTAAATCACTATGTCTCTCTGGGTCTTGGATTTTTATCCGTGGAAGGGAGATTGTGGCAGTCTTGTCACCTGAAATGTTAGGAGCATTTGATGAGTTGATCCCTATCCAGCTGTGGAGCTGTGCTGGGCACATGGGAAGCACTTCAGATGTCTTCCTTTTTTCCCCCTTTCCTTTTTTTTTCTGGTACTGGGGATGGAACCCACCGAGTCCCACCTCCAGTCCTTCTTATTTTTTATTTTGAGTCAGGGTCTCTCTCTCGGTTGTGGAGGTTGGCCGCAAACTTGCAATCCTCCTGCCTTAGCCTCCTGATTTGCTGAATGAACAAATGTCCTCCAAGGAGAGAACAATAGCACCCCCAGGAACAATGAATTTGCAATTACAGAAACAGTTCTGAAACTGTCA